AGTGTACTTCGTGTACTTCTTTAAAGCACATCAAACGATTAAAATAAGTTAAAATGTGCTTTAAAAATAAATAAAGTGCCTTAAGTGCCTTCACAAAAGTTTAAGTGTTAAGTAACATGTGACAAATCTCGTAAACATGTAAAATACAACCATACAATACATTAAAAAAAAAAAAAAAAAAAAAAAAAAAAAACACTTCTTTTTCAGACAGGAACGCCCAATGAGAAGTTATTACTCTGTCGCCTCATATGTACCCAAAGATGTTCATCTTGCACCATCTTGTTTTTGAAATCATATAGCTGTTGACCTCTGCCCGCCCCAACTCTCCTGCCACATCCTACAAGTAAATACTGCTTGTGGAGAATGGACTCCGCCACAAGCAAGTGTGTGTAGCCCAGTTTTATTTAACAGAATGATAAATGACATTTTCAATGATTGGACAAGGATTTGGTAAATCTTTATATACGGATGACGGTGCCTTGTGGAAAAGGGGAAGAAATGTAGTATTTGTGGAAAGTAGTATGCAGAAAGCAGTTAATGAAGTGGAAAAATGGGTAAATAAGTGGAGTTTTAGACTGTCAGTAGAAAAAACTAAAGTGATATGTTTCTCAAAAAAGAAGAAATCACCAAATATTAAACTAAAGATTTATGGAAAAATGTTAGAGCAGGTAACAGAAATTAGGTTCCTTGGATTATGGATGGACTCAAAACTAACTTTTGCATCACATATTAATAAAGTAATAGATAAATGTAAAAAGGGAATAAATATTTTAAGATGTTTGGCAGGGGTAGATTGGGGTGCAACCCGACAGGCATTGAAAAGAGTATATTGTGCAATGATTAGACCTATGATTGATTATGGCAGCATAGTATATAGTTCGGCATCAGTATCTATGTTGAAGAAAGTAAGTGGTATTCAATCTCAAGCACTAAGAATAGGAAGTGGGGCATTTAGAACATCGCCAGTCTCAGCGATGCAGGTGGAAATGGCGGAGTTGCCTTTAGACCTCCGGAGACTTAAGTTAAAGATGGCATACTGGTGTTCTGTAAGGGGGCATGTAGAAACCCATCCAGTCAAAGATGTTTTACAAAAATGTTGGGAACATGAGTATATAAATTATTGTAGTTTTGGATGGAATGCCAACGCAGATGCTAAGAAGGTAGGAATTAATGACATAAAAATAAGTTCAACGGTAGCAATACCAATTATACCCCCTTGGCTGTTCCGCATGCCAATGGTAGATCTCCAGTTGCATTTTAAAATAAATGAAAAGGAAAGGTGTATGCCTAAAGAAATAGTAGTAGATCAATATTTGAAACAAAACTATTTTAATAGTATTCAAATATATACGGATGGGTCAAAAAATCCGGATTCAGGGTATACAGCAGCAGCCATATATATTCCCTATTTTAAATATAGCACAGCTAAAAGGTTATCTAACGATGTATCTGTATTCACAACAGAAATGATGGCAATTCTAATGGCTTTGCAGTGGGTGGAAGAAATCAATCCTATAAGTGTAGTAGTTTGTTCAGATTCATATTCAGTATTAAACAGCTTAAATAGTGGGAAATCAGCATCTAGACAGGATATACTTTATGAAATTTTACAGAATTTATATAGAATAAACCAAACAGGAGTAAGAGTAGAGTTTTTATGGATACCTGCCCATGTAGGTGTAGAAGGAAATGAGGAGGTGGATAAGCTGGCCAAGTCAGCATTGAGAAAAGAAGAGATTGACAGAAATTCCTTTAAGTAAAACAAAAGTAAAAGGTATTATTAAAACAGCAGTTGGAAGTATGTGGCAAGACGTATGGAATAAAGAGTCAAAAGGGAGACACTTATTTAGCATTCAACAGAAAGTGGGGATTGAAAGAAAGGTATATGGAAACAGAAGAGAAGATACTGTTATAACCAGGATCCGTATAGGACACTCTAACCTTAATTATTCATTGTATATAATAGGAAAAAGTGAGTCAGATAGCTGCAGTTACTGTGGAATAACAGAAACAGTTGAACATGTGCTTTTACATTGTGAGGCATATAATAGACAAAGAAAGCAACTTGTTGAAAAACTAAGAGATATGGAAATCAATGACATTTCAGTTATGAATATATTTCAGAATGCACAGAAACATCTAAGGGTTTATGATTTTCTTCTAAAATATCTAAGAGATACAGATTTGATTAGAAGAATTAAAAAAAATGTTTTTTATTTATTTATTTTTATT